GGCTGTCAGTGAGGTTCAAGGGTGGACCTCTAACCAGCCTCTCTGTGCTCAGCTACTGGCGGCACTCCACCCATCCGCATTGAGTCTTCCTCCTCCCATGTGGCCGAGGGACAAACCCTGGATCTAAACTGTGTGGTGCCTGGACAGGCCCAAGTGACATGGCGCAAGCGTGGAGGCAGCCTTCCTACCCGACACCAGGTAGAGCCGCTCCCAGGGCCAGCCTGCTAGAGGGGATGGATGGCTAGGGGCACTTGGGCCCTGCACAACCCCCAACTCATCCCATCCACACAGACCCACGGCCCCCTGCTGAGACTACACCAAGTATCCCCTGCTGACTCGGGCGAGTACGTGTGCCATGTGGTCCTTGGCTCTGAACACATAGAGACCTCTGTCCTGGTCACCATTGAACCTTCTGGCTCCATCCCTGGTGAGTGGATCCCAGTGACACAGAAAGATGCAAGAGGCTGAAACCTTCTAGGAAACGAGGTTCACGTGACTCCTGTACTAGCTAGGGCCAGAGGCCATTCAAGCTCTGGCTGCAGGGCCCTACCCTGAGTTACCTGCACCATCTCGTCTCACTGTCCTTGGCCTCGTCACTCCCTTGTTTCTGCTCCTGCTTCCCTTTCCTCCCTCCTAGCCTCACTGCCTCATCTCTGGTTCTCTTCCTCCCTGCTGTGAGGTTCTGCCCTACGTCCTCTAACAGGGTTACTGAGCTGAGGGTTTCAAGGCAGGGTCACCAAACCCCGGAGACAGGGGCTGGCCCCAGATCACAGGGCTAAGCCAGCTGCAGGTGAGCAGTTCTTGCCCTGTCTCCTGGAGAGCATCCACTACCCTCCCCCTATCCCCACAGCCCCAGGACCCATCCCACCTGTCAGAATTGAGTCTTCATCCTCCACGGTGGCTGAAGGGCAGACACTGGATCTCAACTGCATGGTGGCAGGGCAGGCCCACTCACAGGTCACATGGTATAAGCGTGGTGGCAGTCTTCCCGCCCGGCACCAGGTACTTGGCTCCTGGCATCCATCAGGGGCCATGGGTGGTGGGCT